GCTTCCTCTCTTTGGCATCTGAAAACCAGCTAAAACCATCACCTATAGCAAAAACTTAATGAAATTCTGTGCTAAAATGAGCAAATCCCATGTCAGTAGCACTTCAGAAAGGAACAATCTGCTTGGTGGAGGTGTATCTCTCAAGTTAAAAACACTGGATGAGAGGGAAGATAAAGGGACTTATGGAGCACTACCATAAACTGAGAACCAAGAATAAGAAACCTGGGGTAGTTTGTCACAATGTGCCATTTTTGAAAATGGGATCATATTCTGAGAATCTGTGAGCAGCCACACTTTGTAGAGAAAGGACAGGTGTGAGCTGAAAGCTGAATACCCTAAGTGGTTGCAACCCTGCCTGCTTCAAGCAGCCGGGTGTAAAACAGTCACTATGAAGGGGGTGGAAAATAAGCATGGGTCACATTCAAAAAAAATAAAAAAATCCCACAACAAAACTGTTCCCTTGGGCATCCAAGTAGAATACAACATCCAGCTATGGTCAGGCAAGAGTATCTTCCACTACTCTCCTCTACTGTCTGAAGCTGCTGCAGTACAGTGCTGTTTTAGGCAGGCAGCTGCTAAGCTATTCTAGTACTACTGTAAAAGAATTCCAGGTGAGATTCACTTGGACTTCTTTAGATAAAGATTTGAAACACCGAAGTTGCTGTGCTTGAAGGAAACACTTTTTTACTGTAAAGGTGACTGAGCACAGGAACAGGTTGCCCACAGAGCTGGTGGAGTCTCCATCCTTGGAGATATTTAAAAGCCATCTAGGCATTGTCCTGGGCCATGACCTCCAGGTGACCTGCTTGAACAGTCGGTTGGACAAGGTGACCTCCAGAGGTTCCTTCCAACTTCAACCATTCCATGATTCAATGATTTGTGTCAAAAGGTACTTCTATATAGGGCTACTCTAGCATAAACTCCACTGTCCATGCTCTTAACTGAGTGAAATACATCTCCTGACACAACAGTTTCTTCAAAGGATCTGAGTGTTTGGTATCTCAAAGATACAGCAATAATATTATGCTTCATTTTCCATTTCTGAAACAGATCTTGTTTGTCTAAATCCTACATTAAAACAGTTACCACTGTCCCATTTACCTTTGGAACAACATTTGCAAACAGATGATCCAGCAGCTTAACAGAATCTGTGCCTTTTATTTTAAACTTGCCAAATGGTGACAGATCAATCACACCAACTTTTTCCATAACCTGTTTATACTCACGACCCACAGGGTCAAACCAATTTGTGCGCCGAAAACTGGGTCTGAAACAGAGCATTTACACACATAAAACACAATTTGGAAATTTTGTGCTCTTTTCAGCAAAACATAGTCTTCAGTTTCTTCAGTTTAATAATCATTGAAAAGAGCTAGACTTTCCTATTTGTAGGTAGCTTACCCAATATTTTCCTTGGTCTAACATAGCTTAATTATTAAAATCCTTTAACAACAGAGAAAGATATGGGTTGATATTTTATCAACCATTTTGTACAATAAACTGTGAACTGTTCAAATGTTAGAAGAAGTAGTTGTGTGTCATGTAAATTTACAGCATACTTTGTTGCTGAATCATTTATTTGAGTTTAAGGTGTCAGAGGTTTTACTTCTGAACAGCAGAGTGTGTCTCTATTCCTTTATGAGCCTCATTTAGATTGGGACTCCAGTATCCCTGTGGAAAACATTTAAGTGCTGGATGCTCCCAGATGCACACAGGTAACTAGGTAGGCAGACACAGGGTAAAAAAAAAAGAAAGAAAAGAGGATTAGGCTTCTCCTTTGCTGAGAATTATTCAGCAAGGAATCATTTTTTTTCGTGAAAACATTATACTGTGCTTTGATCATATTTATGATCAAATAATAAGAAAGGGAGAAAAACATAAATTTATAATGAATAATTAAATTTATAATGAACAAATTGCTCTCTAATCTTTTCCTTGAGCTAGGTTGCTCCCTGACACCCCATACCTAGCAGAGTTACAGGATACCTTGATGTGTTTTTTGAATTGCCTGCATGATCAGAATAAAATGGATTCTAAACTATATAAAAAACAGTTATGGAAGATCTACCTAACAGACACCTTTAACTGAAATGAATGATAAATGTATGCTTCTTATTATATTTAACTCAGCTGGCCCTTGCTATCATGACAATTTATTGGGGGAGTGGGTATAATCTTTTATTTACTTGTATCCAGTCTCATCTCCAGGTTTGTAGAACCAGTGAGGTTGCTCCCATCCTGCATGAAAGCCCATTGAACATTTTGATTTCAGCAAATCATACAGCCCACTGGTTCTCTCTGTTGGTCTCCCAGCAAATCTTTCTTCTTTAGGGTAACCAACTAGACAGGGGGAAAAAAAAAAAAGAAAAATCATGGCACACTAAATACTGTACATCACCAAGATAGAATATATATTAACACATATATATAAACAGGGAAATCTAGAGGCAGGCTTTGTTGGAATCCATTCGCAGTATATGAATATATTTAAAAGAACACCTTCTTACCGATGTTATTAAAACCATAAGATTCTCTTGCTTTGGCTGCTGTGTATTCTGTGGTGGTCCACTTTCCATACCGGTTGGGATCTAATTCTATCAGGTCAAATGGAGGTTCCCCCTCAAGGATCCAGTCACTGAGGTACTTTCCTATGCCACCAGCGTGTACAATGCCATACCTTAAAAACACAAAAAAGTCCTGTAGTGCCAAATCTTTTTTTGTTTGTTTGTTTTTAAAGATCACTACTAGCACATACTACTAATACATCCCCTAAAGTATTCTAAACTTTTTCCTCTGGCGTTTGTTTGTTTGTTTGTTATACTTTGTCTTGTTTTCCAAGATTACATGTTTTATTGACAGATATTTCTACTGCACCAATGTCAGCAGCAAAACTCCATTGCTAATGTACAGCATTTATCATATGTATATATCACATTATATTTATGTGAAAATAAGTTCTTAGTTATTTGTGAAATCATCCAATGAGCATAACAGAAAAATCCTTGAAGAAACAGTAAGTCTGTCCAAACCCAAGTTTAGATTAGCATGCAGCAATTAAATCACAGACACTCACACTGAATAGTGAAGCTAAAACAAAATTGAATTGCTGTTCATCAACTTTGCATTCTGAATTCTATGCCCTCAATTAAATAGGCAAGGATCTTGTGGAAAAAAAAAAGAAAAGGATGTAATAATTTAATTCTAATGCATATGGATAAGAATAATTAATTCAGGTTACATGGACAACTTAGCTCTGGCACTTCCTAACTGTAGAATGCCTGACTTCATAATATTCATGAGATTACATTGATATAGTGGGGTTTTATCTGTAATTTATTTATTTATTTCAATAAAACAGAAATATTATGAAGTCAGGTATTCTGGAGTTGAATATATGAAATAATTCTGCCAAACACACTCCTTTAGGCTGTCCAGCATAAATATTCAGATTCTCAGCACAAGCTTGCATCACTGCAGTCGATGCAGTAAGGATGAGCACTTGTAAACTGCCACTCTGCAAGTACTACAGAAGAGCTAGCCATTGCTGGAGTTTATTTAATTAGGCAACTCTTAGTTATTCATGGGTATAAGTTTTGTGACCATGGCTACAATGCCTTCAAGAATGGCTGCAGAAGTTTTAGACTTTTAGTCTCCCTCCACCATTCACTGCAGCCAAACCTGCAGGGGAACACAGCACAGAGACCACTGCATGACGGAGGATGACAACAGACCAAGCACAATGAGTCTTTTAGCTTCAGCTGAAGACTGTTGAGCTGATGGCAAGGTAACCCTGGGGAAAAGACAGCCCTTCGATGTTGCTACTACAGGTAGAGCACTGCATGTGGGCTGACTGGTGTCTGTACTCTGCAGAGCTTTGCAGCACCGACTCTGCAATCAGTTGCTTTTGGTGCTCCTAGTTGAGCCTAGGAGATTTTAATTACATTATCAGAGATTTTAAATTATACAGGGTGCCCAAATCACTCATTACCTCGGATAATGGGGAGCTAATTGTATTAATATACCACTGCAGTTCTGCTACACAAGAATGAAACACATGCTTTGCAGGGATGGGCTGTTACAAGTAGCTGTAGAGAGTGGTACAATTTAGGAACCTCAATCTTCATAAGATGATTTAGAAAAAATTTCCTTAATGAACACAACCTGCACTTCTCTGGTTTTCTTCTCTTCTTCCAGTCGCTGCCAGATCATCTTCCCCATTGTCCCTGTCCTATTCTTGTGTCTTTCTTGTTTATGAGTACTTGCTTCTAACTGATTTTCAACTCATTCAATTCCTTTTTCCTAGGCAATCTGAGTCCTTGCACACCGTGGTTCCTTTTCTACCATCTTTGTCCCAGATTTAGCCACTTTTCTATCCCATTTCTGCAGGAAAACTCCTGTTCAGTCTCTGGCTGTGGAATACTACTGTAGATAGAATGCAGGAATCTTAGTGCAAGATTTAGTGAGTCTCTATTAAGTGTTTATGAGCTGCAACACTAATAAAGGATTGTGAAAAGGGCCTTGTGGATAGATTTTCTGAAGAAAGATATGCAGGAAGGTCTTTGGGAGAAAGGTTGCTTCTGCCAAATGTGAAGTTCATTCTCAGAAAATGGGGAAATTATAGCTTTTCAAAAGAAAGACTTCACCCCAAAAATGTTAACACAGCAAAACAACATATCTTCGGAAAATCTCGGTTTTTTGAACGGTTACACTGCTTTTAATTTAACTTTTCTGAATAAAATTCTAGCCTACTCTTCTTAACATTTTCAAAGCTATAAGTAACTGAAAACAGCCTTAAATGGGATGTGTTGAGCAACCTTAATAATAAACAGTGCTACAAGCTCTGCTAACTATACTTATTCTTTGCACATTAAAATGCCTAGCAAGCTGCTAATTTTAGATAATAAAAATCCTCTAAACTAACAGCACTAAGTCCTCTGTCACAATGTCCCTGGTAGTTGACTATGAGATAAGGATTTGCTAATGTACACAAAAAATTACAACACTGGTAGAAACACTGCAGTGACCCAGAAGCATAGAACAGAGTCAAAAGTCCCTGAAAAGCAGACAAGGCAATCCAATGACATAACTGTGGCCTGTGTCTGAACACTTAGAGATTAATCAAATTCCTGAAATAAGTTGTTTAAAGAAACTAAAATATATAACATTGGTCTTCAGTTATTCCTATATGGAACTTTGATCCTGCTCCCATTGACATGAATGAAGGAAAACAGGCTCCAAAGTCTGGCAGCACAGTAATGAACTTAAACAGTCTTTTTGGTGAACAAGGACTAGGCAAACTGTTTTTGTAACTATAAGTTCTGTAAATGTTACTAAAAGATAACATTTTCTTTTTAAATCCAAGCAGCAAAGGTGAATATCTTTCACAATGAATCATTGCAAAATTACCTAGCTTTTTTATTTTGAGGGCCTCAGAAAGCACGTTAGTGGTACTGTTTTATCTTATGATCTGAGGGCTTGTTTGGTTTGGACTGAAAAAAACCTGGAAAAAGCTGAGCTGGATTTTGAACAGCAAATTAGGCAATTGGAAAAACAATGTGAACAGAATGTGTTCAATAACATGTGCCTGGAATTATCTTCAGTTCATTCTACCCACCTTGCATCAATGGTCAAACTAAGACAATTAAACAGAAGTCAGTATGAGTTTTACCCCTGACTTCAGTGGGGCCAGAGCATATAAGATGTAAGTCACATTAAAAGAAAATATCATTATGGGCAGAAGAGAGTAAATGACACCAGTAAACCACCCATTCCTGTTGTCACACTGCCCTCATTTGCTTTCCTCTAGCATTCAGCTACATCATATCTCAGCTCAACCTTCAACAGTCAGAACCATTACTGTGTTTGTATCTCTAGAGCAGTCACCCAGTATGCTGGCAGTCCCTTCTGCTTAGTATGTCTTCCACTCTTCAGCAAAAAGTTAGTAACTCATATTAGAAGTTCTCCCTGTACCAATCAAGATTTCTTGCCACAACTTCAGTGACACCAGTTTCTTCACAGGCCAAACAATTGTTGAACACAATGTAATTCAAAGCAATACACAAAATGAACAGGAAAGTGTATTATAAAGCCCAGCACTTTTATGACTTTAACTTGCTGCACAGACAGTACCAAGTACTACTCATTTCTTGCTGCTTCATAAAGTGTCACAGATACTGGCCTCCAGAATAAACAGAGGAAACAAACTGAAAAAATAGTGAGAGTTATGAAGAAGTAAGAGAGAGCTTGTGTTATTTAGGTAGTGGTAATTAAGACTATTTCCAACTGCATTTTACACAAAATACTTGCAAAACAACCCTTAAACCCATACAAATTTGCAAAGCTTCAGCTGACTGCCAGTTTAACAATATGAAAGACAAAGTTGTTATAAATGATGTACTCACCCAAAACCAATCGCTACCCAGTAATTTCTGACACCCTGATGTGGTCCCACCATAGGAAGAATGTCTGGAGAATAGGTGATAGGACCCGCAATTGTGTTTATGATGTCTGCATTTTTCAGAACTGGGACCATTTCCATAGCAGCCTCAATATGCTCCATTATTCTGTCTAAATCAGACTCAAAAAGTTCTTTTCCAAAACCTGCACAAATATTTGACTCTTATTATACACTTAATTACACCAAAAATACTTACATTTTAAATACAGTTATGCACTCTACAACTATAAAAGTTACATTGTATTCATCATAGCCATAGACGGCATAGTTCAAGCCTTTGCCATCCTACACAAGAAAAATGGTGTGCACAAAACCCCAGTTGCCTGCAGCATGAAGTTTATTGTCACTACAGTTACACTGTCCTTTATACATATTTGTTTAACCCTAAGGTCACACAAACTCAACAATGAAGTAGAAAAGTAGTGGAAAAACATAGAAACTTCCTTCTATGTTAATAAGACCCACTTATTTTTCTTAATATGCCAACAATATGGGGAGGGGAAGAAAGGTATTGCCTGTGTCAGCTTATGATTTCCATGGTGTTTAGTGACCTCCTGGATATATTTCAGCCTTAAGTCTGGGCTCTAAGCATTATTGAACATCACTCTGTAGTGGAACTTGACACGACGAGAGACAATAAGTTCAGGAAGCCATGACAGTGCAATCTAAAGCCCAACAATGCTGATTGCTCTTCCTTAGGAAACACATTGTGGTTTTTTAAAACAGCAACATTGTTGACTTAATATAACTTTCTGTCTAGAAGTGAATGTAAAGCTGAAGCTTAGATATAACACAGTATTTTTTTTAATAAGCAGCAGTATGACATGGTTGTGATTTTTTGTACAAAAAATTCTATACAAATCCACAGCTCTCTTGCACTTATATCCAAGCACAGCTTCTTGTCTAAGATATTCCTTTGCTATTCCTGTGATCCTATTTGATAACCACATTATCTCCGTGGGAACAGCAAAAATCCAAAGCCCCTGCCAGTGTGCTGGAGAGACCAGTAGCTTAGAAAAATCCCTATTCAGTTGCAAAAGGCTACAGAACACAGATTGATGACTGCATCTAATCACAAGACACAGGCATCTGTTCAGAGAGTAGGATAAGACTATGTTGTAGATGTGTATTTTGTGCCTATTTCAAACTGGGGGTTTTCACGTTACATTTTTATTTCTATTCACTGTTACCATTAGAATTCTATTCTGTGAAAAAAAGTTTCTGCATACAATCACTCATTGCAAATATTTTCTGTTTTCCATCACATAAGGCAGCATGACAGGCTAGGATTTATACACATTAAAATATGTGCTAGTGATTATCAAGTTTAAAGATTTAATTCTCTTAATTACCTGGTGGGACTCCATTTGTTACCCATGAGTCCTGCAGCTTCATCTTCTCCTCACTTTCATATGGACCAAATAAAAGACCATCCCTTTCTTGCCTTAGATAATATGATCCTTCTAAGTCACGAATCACAGGCAATTCTGTTTTTAGGGCTTTCACTTCAGGAATAGTTGATGTCACAACATACTGATGATGAACAGGTATGAGAGGGTGCTGCAAGCCAATCATCTTGCCTATTTCACGGGCCCAGAAGCCTAGAGAACACAAAAACCGAAACAGAAATATTCAAAGATTAATTTCCATGATTGGAAAACAGCATTTGCAGGTAGCACTGCGCTTTATGGAATGTGACAAGGAATTTTTTCCCCATACTTTTAATTTTCAAATTATTTTTCATATTATCCAGCATAATTTTTACTCCATAATTCCATGTCCTTATTCCTAATTATACTATCATATATTATTCTAGTACACAGATACTAAAAAAGTATAATTGGAAAGTATAATTGGAAGACACTTAAAAATCAGAATAAATTAGCTCATACCATAGGTGTTAATCTAGCCTCTTACTTTCAACCAAATGAGCTTGTATGTTTTCCCAAAACAGTAGTCAAGTCCTAACACCCCCACAGAGCAAGGCAGTACTTTCTGCCAGCTAACCTCAAGAATTTAAGTTTCTCTGCACACGCATCATGTGACTCATATTAATTATGTCTCTCACACAGCAGTTAATTCATTATGATGTTCGTACTGGTGAGTAGTCAGTGTGTTCTCTCACAGTTGTCCAATTGTGGACAGAGCGTGACCAGAAAAAGCAAGCAACAATTTCCCTGCCCCTCAAGCCTATACAGACCCTTCATGTATACTACTAGCCGTAAGTTAGATAAGACCTAATTCTCCTCTGTTAAGTTCCCTGCAGACTAGCTGTTTCCAGCTGGTCAGACTTGAGGTACCTGTGTCAAAGTCAAGGTGTGGAAGCCACTTAAATGCTAAACTTACTAGTTTGGGCTCTGCCTCATGGCTCGTATCTGCTGTGATATTGGAACATACAGACCCAGGAATCAGACAGATAATTTGACTGGGATGGCAGCTGCTCTAAGAAGCTTGGAATATCCCTCAGCCCTGCTCTTCCTGACTCCTTGGCTCAAGGAGTGGAGGTCTCAGAAGTGGGAATGAAGGGGGAAAATGCAGTGAAGAAGGAGTTCCAGGGAGGTCTAGGAATGAGGGTTGGGGGAAAGCAAAATGAAAGGGGAAGAAGAGGTAGCAGGGCCTTCCAAATAAAAGACTATGTGCTATCTGGCACCCAGGAAAAGAAGGCAGGTCAGCCTGGATCCTGTGGAACCAGCTGATGCCAAACTGTTTATGAAAAAGTACCACCAGCAAGATTTGCTTCCTAACACAGCTGCCCCCGATCCTGGGACTTACGCTTATGATGCGCAGCTTAATATACAACATTTCTTCCCTTCTGCTGCTTACTTGTCTTAGCCAGATGCTCCTACCTCTCTCTGCAATTCCATGCTCTACAAGATTTCACCGAAATTTAGCTCTCAGGGCCTTGAGAGCACTAACAGTCATTAATGATCCTGAGCAGACTCGCCTGGGACTTCTACCCACATCTCTGCCCAAGGGCCCAGGAGCCCCATTTCAGGTCAGCTCTTGGCCTTCAGAACCTGTCTGAGCTGGTTTGATTGTAGGTTTGCCTGTTTACAGTTCTGTCACAACCATGCCCGTGCCTGGTCATGGACCTCATTGATCCAGATCCTGATCCGTGGACTACTTCCCAGCTTGACCTGAGCCCAGTCTCATCTCTGTGGTCGTGCCTGTTGATCGCTGGGCAGTATCTGACCCTGGTTACTGTCACCAGACCTGTTCCTGACCTCTGGATGGACTTCCAGGCTTGGCCTCAGTCTGGCTTCATCACTATGGATCTGCCTGTGCCTCATCCCCACAAACATGTCTGGAGATCTGGACTGTGGGCTGACCCCAGATGCTGGTCCTGGGCCTGCCCTGCTCCCTCCCCTGTGTCCTGTAGGACGGAGCCCTTGCTGGCTTGGCCCCTGCCCTGCCAGCCTTGTTACCACACTTGGCTCCCGGTCCCGCAGGGAGCAGCCGGGCCGCGCCGCTTGCTGCCGCTAACTTGGGAATACATCCTCTCCTCTCTGGCACGGCCTAAAGGCAGAGCAATCAGAAAAGCTGAGTTGGGCCGTGCCGGCCTGTGCCATTCCCCCCACGCCACGAGGGCTGTCAGCCTCTTATTTAGTATTACAAACCAGCCTCAGGGTCTAACACCCACTGTTTTAAAAACGCAAAGTTTCTGAGGAAAACGTTTTCTGTGGTGACTCACTTGACAATTGCTGGCAGCAGGTAAAGCAAGGGAGCAGGCACTCTGGGATCATGATAGAGAGATCTGTGCAGTTAAAAGCCTCTGCCCAGTAAATACTAAAAACCAGTATCTTTTGTTCTGCATTTACCATACATAAGAGTTTTGCTCCTTAATGGCATCTTCACCACTTGGAGGACACTCACTGACAGAACACTTGTTAAGTCTGTTAAATTAGCTCAGGGAAGATCATGCCAGAGTCATACAGGGATTCAAAACATCCTTTAAGGCTACTGAGACCTGATTTATGCTCCCTTATACAAAAAACAACCCCAAAAATTCTAATATATTTGAATTTCTAGCACATCTGCAAGAGTTTCCTCCATTCCACATGACAAATACAAATCTGGATTTAAGTAGAGGCTAACAATCTTCAGGCATTTTCTTTTGATTTGGGCATTTCCATGTCACCTACAAAGAAAACTATTTTAGGGTAAGGTCAGATAATGATCCATAACGGGGAAAGAAAGGTGAAGTAGCAAAAAAATCCGTTGCTAGTATCATGCACTGTTTTCCTGCCAAAATTGCTTGGACTTAAAAAGATATTTGGAAAAAAGATAATGCTCTGGGAATGTGCTTCTAATAAATTCACTATTTTGCTTACTCATTAAAACAGAATGAATGAGAAAATATAGAGAGCAAGCATATTAAAGCTCCTCAAAGAAAATAAAAATGGTAGACAATTTTAGGTCTTTGAAATTTAACTTTGTTTCTTTCAAAATAATATTAAATTTCTTAGCCACTAAGTTTGCAGGAGTACATTACAAACAGCTGATTTTAAATGGATTTTAAATTAAAGGCAAATAGTTTAAGTTTGCTCAAAATCAAATTTTAAATATTGCACTTCTAAAAAAATCACATGATAAGTGCTTATTTAATTGCTTAGAATAGCAACAGCTGACATTTACTAAACAAAAAATATTACAGTTTCTTTGTTTAAAGTTTCTGAACCAAAACTATTACAAACACAAGAATGGGAAAAAGAATATGTTCTCTGAAACAAAATTCCAGTTGCAAGCAGATGTCAAGTCCTATCACACATAGTACAGATACACAAAGGCATAAAATATATCTTGAGGAGGTTTGTAAAGATTAAATTGTAGAGACTGCAAACATGTGATGCTGAAATATTCAGTGGTGGTACTACTTAGCATACCTGTTGAACTATGTAATCTGACTATCTCTTGTTTCTAAAAAAGAGGAAATCTTCCATCACTACATATGTACAAATGGTTGTATATACAGTGTGTACATGTCTGCAAATGTGTGCTTATATACACACACACATACTGTATTTCATATACACAGTATATTCATATTCACACACATATTCACATATACAGTAATTTCACTATTTTTGCAGACTTTAATCAAACATTCCATTATAAATAGGCTGCAAATCACTTCAGCAGGCTCAATAGCAGTTAGTTCACATCAGGGATTATTTATTAGGCATCTGCTTTCTTCCAAAATGGAAATCTCACATAAGGAACAGCTAAAGATTGGTTGAAACTAGTTTGTTCCAGTTCCACAGCAGATGTCAGCTGGGGGATGAGGGGGGAGAGAGAATGTAAAGAGCCTTCTGATGTATTTTTCTCTGCTCATATTGCAACACGAGCCTAAAGTATGAGCTCTGAATTATACCAGACATGATCTGTAGTGGAATGAGGCAAGGCCGAGAAGAAGAATGAATGTTAGCTAAGAGAACATTTATAAGAGATATGTGTTATATAGTATTGATTTCACATCCTTAGCCAGAATGTTAAGCAATATGTGCTTCAAATGCCCATTTTGGCTGAATAGTTAACTACATCAGAGAATCAACTAAATATATTGTTGGTTTAATAACTTATTAAATAAAAAAAAGAGACTATAAAAATTTCACAAGGGCACCTTCTAATTTTTGCATATAAACTTTGAAAAGCATTTACTAGAAAACTCTGCCTAATGTCAACTTAATAGATAAGCCAAAGAAAGATAACTACACTACAAAAAATAAGGAGATTACTACATCTGTGATACTTCATCCATATGATGCAGAGCCAATGGTTAGGAATAACGAATGCCTAGAAGTCTGTGGCCTAAATAAGAAGCCTGACTGCCGAAAGAGTGGCCTTTCCATTCCGTAATCTTGGATCATTCCCAGACCAGTACATCCATACCGTGTAACAAATGACATAAGGATCTTATTAGTAAGAGAGCTTATGATTTTGTAACTGAATGCTGTCCCATAATTCATGCCTGAAAGCCATGAACTGAGAGTCCAAAGAAAATCAAATATTGATGCCTCTCATCTTCTAAGTGCTTGACTTTGCAGTCTAAATAAAATTCTTTTAATTACGTTTCCCTGTTTCTGTGATTCCTTGCTTTCTAAAAAGCTTGTGAACTCTTCTAGACCTCTTTCTCTCCAACATGTCATTATGTGGCACTGTATGGACTTCATGACACAGTCCATGCACATACTTAGAACCTCAAGGTGAACTTTTTCAGATCCCTGGTACTTTAGCTGGGCTTATAGCAATACCAGGTGATCACCTATGTATGGGAAGCATATGATGAGAAAGCACACTTTTCAATGGGTTTCTCAGTTAATCTTTACTGAAAGCCTGGAATGATCTAACATGGGTCTGTCTACATCCCAGATACTGGAAGAAAGGTCACTTAGTAAAGCTTATCCTCTCAGAGTTCAGCCGTTTTATCCCATTCCCTCCAAGTTTCTCTCTATCCCAATCTTCTCTCTACCCCACCCCTGCTTGCCCCATACTTTTTCTTCTTTCCTCCTCAATCTCATACCCCACTCTTTTTACTCCAGTCCTTACATCCTTCTTCAGCTATTTTGCCTCTGTGTGCAAATCAGTCGCCCATGTTTGTCATAGCCTGTCACACCTGCCTTCTCTTCCTTCCAATCTACTCTCATCTACATCTCCCTTGGTACTCCACCAGTCTTTCATGCTCAGACAGCTCAAGCAGCCTCAGTTTTCCCGTCTTAGTTTCACATACAACCAGTCCTCAAGTATCCTTTCTGATCTTTTTGTCCAGAAAGCTCCAGATCCAGTTCCCTTAATGGAAGATCCCTTTCTGCTATCCCTCTCTATGGTGTCATCCTCACTGTCGCCATGCCCACAGTTCCTCACAGTTTGAGTTTCCTTATTCAGCAAGTCCTCCAGCACATAAGTGTTCCACTTGCTGCCAGTGCTCACAACCACCTCCAGGAAACTTTCCCAAGCATTTCACTCCCCCAGTACATCTATTCCCCTTCCAGTACAACTCATAATTCCAGTTGTCAGCCATGGTTATTCTACCCACCAGCAAGAGGAGTCCCTGCCTCACTCAACTTCTTCATTTTATCAGCTTTGCACTGAAAAGATGGTTTTTTCTTTTCCACTACACAGATGTAAAAAGGAATTATAAAGACATATCCTCGCTCTCAGTTCACTTGTCCCATCTGAGCAAGAAGAGAAAGTCCTCTTGAGCCATCACAGCTTCCTACTGAAGTCTGATTATTCACTGAGACAGGATGTATGAAAGACTCATGTCCTAAAATGCAGATATGATTCAGTATGAGACAGACAGAGTCTGCAAAAACTTAATCCGAATGGTAAATATGAAGCATGTTTTCATACAATTGAAAACAGAAAGTCTTTCACTAGAAAGTAGAAGGCATGCTTCACGTAGGAAGTGTTGATAGTTTCACCAATAATATATTTTTCTATAACTTGTATAAAATAGCATAAAAATAAGTGAAGTTTAGATGGCATACAGGTTTTTAGGCCTATCAACTTATTTAGTAAAACAAACATAAATCCAAAGGACTCCTGTCCAGAAGCTCTTTGAAGCAGAAACATCAGTTTGGCTTCTTTAACACAATGAAGAATAAAAATTGCATATGTAAATACAAGTTCCTTTGAGTTAGGAAATTTTTATTGCATGAAAAAATGTATTGTTAAGCCAATTGCATGTTTAAAATACTACTCAAAGGGCAACAAAAATCTTCTGTTTCAAGGATAGAGTATAATCTTAGAGAGATAATACTGAAATAGGCAAGCTTATCTTACTTGCTGCAAATCCTCAGTCTCTTTGAAAAAACAGTGAAGATATTTCTACTTCATTTGTACACCTCTTTTCCCTTCCTAAGTAGCTCTCATAAGATTTAAGAAGACAAGACACATAGAGATAGCCTGTCTGTTCTACACAACTTACTGTAGACCAGTAAAGGTCGCTTCTGCTACTAAAATCTAACAAGACAGTCTGACTAGTTACTGCTGGAGACAATCCAAAAAGAAATATTATTAATGCCTAGTCAAGGACAACTAACATAAGAGCTAAATTTTCACAACACTGTAAAATAACATGTGCAAAGTACGTTTTACCACAAACCAAGTAAATAGTCAAAACCATATATTACTTATTCCAAAAAGTAAACCACACAATTCAGTACAGATGCTCCATGTCAGCTATTTTGTAAATCTGAAGAGTATACATATGCTTATGTTACCTGCAGCATTCACAATCCTCTTTGCTCGAATTATTCCAAGTGGAGTTTCAACTTCCCATGTCCCATCTGATCGGGGGTTTAGATTAGTCACTTGGACAGGGTAATTTAATTGGGCACCGTATTTTCTGGCTCCTGCAGCCAAGGCCATAGTGAGAGAATAGGGATCAATATGACCATCTCCAGGGTTATACAGGCCAGCTAAAACCTGAGTGGAGGTAAAAATCCACAAAATTAAGGAAATTAAAATTTATCAAAATTAATTTTTTAAAAGCCACTTTGTTTCTTGAATGCTGTAAACCTTGAGGAGCCAAATCAAAATAAATTTTCAAAACAAATAGTATCAGGTCTTCAGCTAGCCAACTTAAAAATGGTGTAAGAAAGTAAAATTGCTCAGTTCTCCTACACAATCAAGGGCTGCAACACTTTAATTTTATAATATTATATATATTATAATTAGCAGTACACATACTGGCATACAGGATGCACTAAAATGCATTTGAGTCTGACTTTAGTTTATAATGTACCTTTTTTCACTGAAAAACAAGAATGTATTGTACAATTTGTATAAAAAGACCTTGTGTCTACAAATCTGATAAACCAGTATTTAATTGCAATGGAAGTTTTTTTTTATAAAATTAGGTTCTTTACCATATCCATGTTCAACAAGGGAAACAGTTCTTGTACTTTCTCGGGCGTGATTAGGTACTGCTCTGTTGGGTGCCAACCAGCACGAGTCATTTGGTATTTGAATTCATCTACCCTAGTGGGAGTTGAAGCAATTCTGATGCTGCCAGGACAATGAAACCCCACAGCCTAAAATAAAGAGCAAAAGTGAATTACTGAAAGAACTTTTACTTATCTCCATAAATGCATGTTCCTATGCTATGGGAAATCTACAAGAATTTTGCCACTAACATCACTGAAAAGAGACTCAAATAAGGTAGGTGCCCTTGAAGGAGCAGGACTCAGTTGTAAACTCCTAGAGAAAAAAAAATTTTAAAAAGAGTTATCAAATTAATGTTCTAGGTTACTACATACTATCTTCAAAACAGTTATAAAAAGCTTTTCTTGAATGTCATGATGCTATTATTTTTATTGAGATTTCATAAATGTTTGAATTTATGCACTCATATATTTTTAAAAATACAATCAGACACAGCTCAAAAATAAATATATAATAATTTATATTAAGACTATCCCCTGCACAATTTTCTGTTTAGATGCTGCAGAATAAATTTAACTTATTAAGCACCTTTATTGGCACAATGAATAACCACCCACCTTTTTTTGTTTTTTTAATAAATTAGAAATCCTTATACAGCTGGACACTGAATGCCCACTTTCTGGTACACACTGTTTACTTCACCTTTTGTGTGTTACCTCACAGGACATGAATATGGCTAAATGACTGGTTTAGTAGAAATCACAACAATAATCTTCTGTAGTATCTTATCTAGCTGAGCAGTAGAATGAAGAAAAAAGTATTTTATTACAATTATCAAGTTTGTAGATTAGTACAGTGAGGTTCATTAAATTTCTGCTGTTGTCTGAAGCAAGCATGAGTTTCGTAAGTGAAATCTATGGCTGAATGATGTCAGATAAAAAAGATGACCTGTGTGTTTCTCTGCAAATGCATTCCTTAAGTCACTAAATAAAAACACATTTCTGAAAGGGACAGGAAGAATTGCAGCTATCTTCTCAAGTACAGACAGCATCATATCATATGAATTTTTCAGTGGACATGTTTAAAGCAGGAGTGTATCATAATCAATCCATTCATTCCAGATACTTGATGCTATTTGAACTCCTATACGAAGCTAAAGTTGCAGACTCTCAGTCTGCTGAGCTTCTGAGATGTTTAATGAAAACCATTTTCTTAAATTTCAGAGGGATCTGGGAAACCATCTAAAATATTTGGTGACTACACACCAAACTATATGCAGGCAGGAGTATATATTTCAATAACATGGGAGCTTTATTATAGTCATGAACACACACATAATCAACTTGTCAACTCCAAACTTTTTGCAATACTATTCATAAGGTTAACAATGATCTGAATTAATAATTACAAGGATAAGTAGATTACCTGTCCAGTCTCTTCTTCCAGCTTTTCATAGAGTTTGATGCTGTAAGAATGGATTTTCTTCAGGTTTATTCCAGGATGAAAATAAGTAGTTAAACCAGCCTCAAATAATAAATAGGAACAACAACACAGAGATATGATTAGAAATGCAGTGTTTTCTTTCCCCTCTTCCAACTGTCATCCAAAAAGAAACTGTCAAGATACTGTAAAGAAAAGCAACACATGGATAGAGCCAACTGCTACAAAAATAAAAATAAAACCCTTCCCCTACTTACGGCATTCTTGTTCTCTGCATGCGTGCTTTTCCACCTGTCTTTTCTCATCAAATTTGTCAACTCATGACACTGTTGCAGTTGTTCTTTCCTATAGTTTCCTTTCTTCCTTAAATTATTCAGTTGTCAGTTTCAATCTTTTGGAAGAGAGGCACAACTCCATTCCCAATCAACTAAATCAACTGATTGTCCTGCTACATGCCCTGTAGTGGGATCTTTTCCTTGTTGCAAATGGAGATGGGAGAGAAACCAAACCCTCACAAAGACCAGTTCTTAACACAAGTTATTACTTTGCTGGGGTTTGAACAGCAGGGTGGCAGAAGTCAATATTCTTCTATTCTCAACAGTTGTCTCATGTGGCAGTTGAAGATCAATTGCTGCATTGCAGAAGTAGCTTAAGAAATGACTAATATTACTGAATTTTTATTTTTTATTAAATTTTATTACTAAAATTACTGTATTGTGCACATCATTTTACTACCTCTGACTTTAGAAAGCTGTCAAGCCCTTTTGGGTTCATACAAAGGTAAAATCAAGAAGTTACTACAGCATCTTCTATATTTAAGGAAACTGTTCACCTGCCTACAAGAGACAGCCGCATCAATCTGGCAACATTCATAGCTTCAGACATTTAGCACTTAAAAAATCCCAGAGTAAAATGTTACTGAAGTTAAGCATATGTCTTTTTACCTCCTGAATTTAACATCTCACTGAAAAGCTTCTTCCAAGTGACACAACAGAAATGCAAAATTCCCTTAGGTTTTCAAGCTAAGTAACTACATCGATTTAAACACTTTATATAGAGAGAGAGAGTGTGTATTTTGCTAACTAAAATAAAGCTTATTCACAGATGAAGGTTGCTTCAGTTAAGGGAGCTAGACATCAGAGTCCACCTTTGAGTTCACTGCCATTCTAAAAAAAAAATCAGGAAATCTAAAGATGAAAGATAACACATACAGTAGAGCTTTGATAATTTTCTTCCAAGTTGCCTAGTATGCACATAGAATCATATAATCATAGAATAGTCTGGGTTGGAAGGGACATTTAAAGGTCATCTAGCCCAACGCCCCCACAACGAGCAGGGACATCTTCAACTAGATCAGGTTGCTCAGAGCCCCGTCCAATGTGACCTTGAGTGTTTCCAGGGATGGGGCATCTACCACCCCTCTGGGCAACCTGTGCCAGTGTTTCACCACCCTCACTGTGAAAAATTTCTTCCTTATATCTAGTCTAAATCTAACCTCTTTTAGTTTAAAACCATTACTCCTTGTCCTATTGCAACAGGCGCTGCTAAAAAGTCTGTCCCCATCTTAGATGGTATCTCTATACTCCTGCTTAATGGCTCAGCTTACCGCAGATTACTTTTTACCTTTCTGCTTTGGAATTCCTCACGGAATTTGGTCACGAGTAGTCATGTCTATGTTAGTTTTGTATTTCAATTCTTTAAAACAAGTGTGACTAAGGAAGATGTGACTTAACTATTGTTGATTTTAGCTTGTCAACTCTGTTCTGTGCTATGTATTTTAGGCACTATGTAGTGGAGTAGTTCTATACATGTGAATAACAAAAGCAAGATTTAGTGGTCTTTAAAGATATATTTTAATTCCAACTAATTTAATTATGCTAAGAACCTATTAAACATTACACTTCTCTATAATTAACATCAACATATATTGCATGAATTGGAGCACATATGCTCATTTTTTGAAACCATGGCCTCTTCTGACCCGTCTTTCTTGATGCAACTTCACATTTAAGACCTGATCTTTTTCTTCAGAAACAACTAGCTTCAAACTGCTCTTAGCAAATGGCTGACACTCAGATACCACATACCTCAAAAATCATAAATCATGCTCACTGCCTGAGATGACAGATACTCAGTATCTTCAGAACAAGAGTATGACAAGTGTCTGGCATTACTCAATATATGTCTTTATGCTAGCTATGGTGTTAAATGTTTCTCCTACCTTTATTTAGGATGATTTTATCTTTCTGATATCTTAAAGTTTATATACAATATCCTGGTGTAACACATGAGTGAAATGTCAAAATAAACCAATGGAAAAATGTGCAAAATTAATAATCTACCAGTTGTGCCTGTATTTTATTAATAAACTTGGCGCTAGTTCTCGAAGTATGTTTGGTATTGTTCATTACCACAACAATCTGAGTTTAAAAAGTGATCACACAGATCTGCAAGAGGAAGAAAAATCTACTAAGGGCCACATTAAGCACAAAGCAGGCATGCTGAATTCAGGAAGTCCCTGGGCTAGATTAATAGTGTGGAAAAACATTACTTGTCCTTTTCTTCCTATCATATCGGATCGTCATCATACTGGACACTGCTGGAGACTAGGTATTTGACTAAATACATTTTTGATCTCATTTGATACATGTGGTTTTACGTTGTTGTGAACACATTTATTTTAATTACCTCAGACTAAAACCTAGGGCTGTTTCACTGCAGAATTTGTAATTAAAACTTGCCTGTTTCTTAAAAAGTAAATCCTAAGTGCCTTTTTTTCTGTATATACAGAATAAAGAAATAAATTAGGCATTGAAATGTTTATATTTTTTAGCCATTTTCAATATCCTATGAGTAATTAATTGACACATGCCTGCAAATTGTGTCTTCTTATATTATTTTTACTGTCTTCTTTAATTTATGTAAACATTTTCTGGTCTTTTGTCATTTTTCCAAATGTAGTAATGTATTTTCCAGATGTAGGAAAATTCCATTTTAGTGGTCACTGTTAGTAAAGTCATTTGACCCAGCCGAACCACAAATCACTTGCAAGTCAGCTATAAACCCATATACATTCAAGAGAATGTAATTGCAAGAATTAAATCAAAACTTCTCTCTCTGACATGAAAGAGAATAAAAGAGTTTTAAACACACTTGATGCTTTTTGGCTTCAGATAATGAATATTTCTGATTTCAGGAGTGCAGCTGGGAGACATCTATAACCTGTCTGGACTATATAAAACTAGGATCATAGAATCATAAAATAATTATCATAAAATAAACTGATTGAATAAGACCTCAGGAGGTCTCTACCTAGCCTCATACTCAAAGCAGGGTCATCTATGAGATCAGACCAGGTTGCCCAAGATTTTCTCTTGAAAATCCTCAAGGACAGAGACTGCACTACTTCCTTGGCCAAGTACAGGACTTAGCATTTGTCCTTGTTAAATTTCATGAAGTTCCTTTCCTTCCACCCCTCCAGCCCGTCTAGGTCCCTCAGCATGGCAGCTGTGCCCTTGAGTGCATCGACTGGTCCCCCCACTTTGGTGTCAACTGCAAACTTGACAAGCATTTACTTCATCACCTTCTCCAGATCACTGATAAAGATATTAAACAGGAAGAGTCCCAAGACAGACCCCTGCAACACTCTATTTGTTTCCAGCCTTTGGATAGAGTAGGACTGATTAATCACTATCCTCTGAGCCCAACCATCCAAACAGTCTTTTAGCTATCTAGTTATCCAGCCATACAGAACATAACATCTTCAGTTGAATGCATGAATATTCTGTGAGACAGTGTCTAAGTCTTGCTAAAATCCAGATAAGTGACATCAACTGCTCTCCCCTTGTCTACAAATTCAGTCATTTTATCATAGAAGGCAATCAGGTTTGGTCAGACATGATTTATGCTTGGCAAATCTAAGCTGACTGTTCCCAACCACCTTTTTTCTCCTTTATGGGCCCAGAAATATGATCTGAGACTCACTCCATGATTTTCCCCAAGAATCAAAGTATGGCTAGCTGGCCTTTAGTTCCCTTGCTCACCCCTTTGGCTTTTTTTAAAGATGCATACATATGCCCTTCTCCAAATGTTGGGCACTTCCCCTCACCTCCACAGTCTTTTAAAGGTGATAGATCCCCAGCCTTGCAATGACATCAGCAGCATTCTTGCATTCAGCTCATCAGGTCCAATATATGTGCCTGAGTCAAGCTCTCTCAGGAATTATTGTCTTGATCCTCACTCACTGCTGGTAGTTCCTCTTCTCCTCCTCTGCTCAGAGCACAGAGGCCTGAGAAGTCTTTTCAGTGAAAACTTGGGCAAAGGCAGCATTGAGTACTTCAGCCTTATCAGTGTACACTGTGAACTGAATTACCCACCTCATTCAGCAATGGTCCTGCATGGTCCTTGTTCAGCCTTTTATGTTCCTTACAAGTCTTAACTCTAGTTGACTTTGGCTTTCCTAACATCACCTTTACATGCTCAGGCAAATTTTCTAAATTACGCCTTCATAGCCTTCTCCTGCTTCCACCTACTGTATACCAGAGTTTTGCTCTGGAACTCAGTCATGAGTTCCATGTCTGGCCCAGCTGGCCTCCCAATATGTGTTTCAGGGTGGACCAATCTTGTACTTGAAGGAGATTTGCTCGAGGTTTTACTCTATTTTTGTAAAACAGAGATTATGTTATTGTAGTTGAACATGATCTAGGAAAAAGAATTTTAAGAATGGCCACTTTGCTATGAGAATTGACACAGTGATTTTAAGGCATTTTTATAGTTAAAATTTTTCTTTGTTGAAATGTTCATGTATCAGTGTTGTTCTATTCCAAAATGTTTCAGATTTTATACTAACACCATTTACTAAATTAGCATTCTGGAGGAAAACGGCATTAAAACTGTTATTACCTAGATGCTCTCTTCTTGCCAGTTTGACCAAATTGTAACAAGTTTTTATTTGTCATGTGCTGTGCTTTATTAACCCTTAATTAGCAGCAAAATCAGTTGCACGTTGCAAGAAAAAGTATCACATAATGGAATGGTATGTTAAATATTTTCTTAGAAAACACCTTTTAAAAAAGTAACAACGGAAAAATTTATTTGCTGAGTTATATATCCCTTGTTCAGTCCCTAGGGCTTCAATGAGATTGCAAATGATCTGACCTGCAGAATAATACAACTTCATGAGTTCTTAAAGCCTAAGTCCTGACCTAATTTACACACATATAGTAATGACTACTATGTCATGGTTAGATAGGTATAAAAATGAGCAGCACATGCTCTGTTATTCATATCTTCTTATTACTGATAATATAAATACGTTCACACTTTCTGTGCTTTTTTAAATAAAATGAAAGTCAGCCAAATTTATCTCAGACCTGAGAAGTGGAAGAAAGTTTTGGCAGCAACACTAGCAGGAATACGATCTATATGAAACACGATCCTGAGCTCTGACAGGACCTACCGGACTGTGAAAGAGGGAAAATGTGGTATAGTACAGCAACATCTGAACCAGATTTTCAACATTTGGGACTGCAGGCAACACACTATCCGCCACTGCATGTGCTAAATATGTGTGTAATTTTCATCTGCATCTAGTATTGTAGCACTGTGAGGAAACCACTGATAAATGCACAGTGTGTGCTCTAACAAAGAGCACCCAGTCACAGTTTTGATCTTTCTCATCATCTGAAACAGCATCAGCTTTTTCATCTTCAAACACAGCACCCTAATACTGTGTTCAATGAAAAGAGACAGTATACATGTAGTTTACCTAATAGTTATCCATTTTTAACCTGTTCCATAACTAGGTCTTGCTGTGTTAATGTAATCAAATTCTGTTGCAGCAGGTGCCACGAAGCAGCCCTCTGAATAACTCAGTGCAGGAATTTTCTCTGCTGCGCTTCAGGTCTCTCCCTGCTTTTGAAACAGCTCCTCGCTCAGTGCTCCATCGCTGCATTCACTAAGAAGTGGGGCAAAAATACTGAAGGAGAGGTAGCTTTTACAGAGTTATAAGCAATAAGCTAGAGTAAGCGAGTATAACAAGAACAAAGAAAACATATAGAAACAACCCCCATTCATGGATTTTGGTTTCTTATTCAATGAGGGGATGTTTGTTATTTTTTACACACTTATTGTTCTGTATATGCACTGGGTAAATACAATTCAGTCTGTGCCTCAGTCATATACTTAAGTCTCAGTTATCTCTTTGAGCATTTCATAGTTACCATTCAAGACGCAAGATATGTGATCTGACATTATACATGGTGCTGCTCTGTTCAGTGAACTGCATCACCTGTGGTATCATTCTTTCTAAGGGAGACGTAATTACTGAATTTTGTTTTTCCTAACTCCATAGAGTGTGCTTTCTTTTGCTTTGTTTGTTGAAAAGCAAGTAAAATGAAATATAAACCTACTTACACATTTCAGGCACTAATTTTTTTAATTTAATTTTTTACTGTTGTTCACTCATAAGGCCCTATAACACATACAAGATCTGCACTAAGGTGAAGTATTTCAAACTTCAGACTTCCTCCCTTGGTAAAAGTATGAGAATACAAATCAAATATAATCTATCTGAGTCACCCTTCTCAATTTGCTCCTGAAAGTCACTAAGATATTATAGCTAACTATAGTTAACTATTGCATAAATGGTCTATTGTATTAATAGAGTAGTTCTAGAGACGGCAAACTGTTGGTTTTTCACTCTTTTATATTGCTACACACAGGGATAATATCCTCTCAGTTTCATCTGAGCGTAGCTAGAAATGAATGGAAAAAGCATCTATTATTGCGGCATGCTTTATTTAATTTCATTACACTACCTACTCCAGCCATTGACATAGAAATACGTAAGTCCATACATACATGTGCACCAGTATGCCGATGTGATTAGCATCATTATAGGAGCTGTCCCCACCCTGTCATTATTACATGTATGTCTTTTAAACTCTTCTTCTTAGAGTACAGGCAAATATTAAGTCTAAAAAACCCCCACAGCATACAGTTGTTAGCTTTGCTTCTCCAAGATTTTGTGTAATGTCAGAGGTGGCAGGAAAGAAAGCTCTTGTTTCTAGGAAGAATCTGTCTCTGGGACAGTGATATTCTCTGAGAACTGGACACTGATGCTGCTTCTTGATTACTTCTTTTTCAGGATGGCACATATAAAAATAATAATTATACATAAAATAATGCCAAATTTTGCATTTCTGGTTTATGCATGACAGTGCAACCACTTGCAATGATGAAGTCTGCAGTATAACTTAGATTACCTTCAAAATAAAACCTTAAATTTAACAAGTCTAAGTTAAACTAAAGTTTAAAGTCTAAACCAGTTAACTGCCAAAAGTATATAATACTACTAACAATTACCTTCCAGTAATTTCAAAATACAATATTTGTCCCAATTTTTACAAATGAGAAAAGTGTACTATTGATAAGATAAGAAGTCAGTGCTAAAGTTTTTATCTATAAAATAACCAAGATAGTTATCTCTGGAAAGCCAGGTAATATAAAGGTAATGAAACTTCCACCACCATTAAATACACAAACTGCTCTTAATATCTGAGAGACTAAGAAAACATTTCTTACTGCATGCCAAGTAGATCCTGCAGTCAGCTCAGATTTTTCTAGCAGAACAACATCCTTCAAGCCAGCCTTAGCCAAGTGATACGCTAGACTCACACCAACGCAACCACCTCCGATGATCACCGTATCTGCTCTATCTTTCCCCAGGGAAGGAGACTGGGTTTCTTTCCTGGGGAAAAAAAAAATTACTGACAGTTACAAAACGACAATTACATTTTTGCCCATCTCTGTTTTTTCATAGCTCAATCACAATATAACTTGGTGCCTGCTTGGCAGTCTATGTGACACACCTGACTTAAAACCTAGTTTGTTCACTCAATCTTCTTTCGAAGTAAATGCTCTTAGAGGGTGATAAACAGTTGTAATACAAAAAGCAAAGCAAGTTTGCTTCCACTCACAGCTTTAAATCTTTGTTATTTGTCCAATATGCCCTTACATGTAGACCCTATTTTTCAATGAGAAACTGTACCCCTGAAATGACAGTGTCAAAACCTGACTTTTCAAAAGTGCTATAATGTATGCAACTCAAAGAGAAAGTCTTTAAAAAAGTCTCCTTAGTAAAGCTCCTCAATAAATTTCTAAAGCCAATGTCAGCAGACTACATCAGTGTTTGTATTCATGAACAATGAAACTTCATGTTTATTTTCACGTTCTATTTTGACAGGTTCTACTTTGCTGAAGACTAAACATTATAGAAACAGGTTTTTGTCAATGGCTCTCAGCTGCTACTACATCGTGCTGCATTTTCACAACCACTTTGAGCCATCACAAACCAGAACTGCTGCCATAGGCAGTCCCATTCTCATCTGATCCTCCTCTCTACTGCCCCATCCACAGAGAGCCAAGCAGCAAGCCAGATCATGAAATTTATCCAAATTTTAAAAAAGACAGCTTTTTGGATGTGAGACAAGGTAGGACCTCTTAGTACAACAGCAGTACAGACTATTGTGAAACGACAGTATCTCTCCATTCAGGACAGTTAATCAACACTCAATTTTATCTTCCCTCTCTTTGTACATATTTGCTTTTGCAACTTCTCCAGCAAAAGGCTTTCTAATGTATAACTGATCTTCCAGCCAACCTCCACTCGGAAATTTAAACTATTAGTTGTATGCATTATAAATTGAGACCTTATAAAATAATACGACATTTTAAATGCAAATGCAGAAGAAATATGCACTACGCTTATTCACTATGTGTCAATGAATAAAACATAAATGGTAGCACTGGACACCACAGGTTTTCTGTATTTGGTGCACTACACACTTGCATGGGTTCTTTTTGGAGATTACATGCTAATTTTTGCAAGTTAACAGTAAGTTGTTTAGCAGCCAGATGCGAGACACTTCTACCAGCTCCTCTCCTGAAGTTTGAGGGACAGGGTAATCATGCTCAAGCATGAAGGCTTTTCTCATGCTTCTTTTATGCAGTGAATTGGAGACTTCCTCACCTAACTTTCAGTTGTTTTCAAAACTTTTCTTGCAAACGCAGGAGCCTGGTGAGAATCCGGGGGGTACCTTCCCTCTGAACCACACGGTTCACCCAGATGTTTGCTCGTGCCAATGAATGAGGTCATTTTTCACTCATTGATGTGGCCCAAAAGACAAGGCGGGCTCTCTCTATACCAGGTCCGCGACTCATCCCGGTCTGGGTCTGGTCTTTCACGCAGAAATGAGGGGCGCAGGGGGCAGAGGCACCTCCTGCCCG